ATAAGAGAAGAGAAAATGGGTATACTTGTCACATTTCAGAACTACTTCTGTTTTTCTCCCATTTAGTATAACATTAGCTGTAGATTTGAAATCTATAGCTTTTTTATATTCAGACATCATACGGAAGTCTGTTCCTTCTCTTGATTTTCAAATGAGAGCATTGATGAGTAAGACTTCTCAAAGGACTACTGTTGCTGTATTGCAAAGCTTTTGAGACATTGTATTTGCATTTTCAATTAATTCTGGAAAATTTTTAATTTCCTCTCCAATTTTTTCAGAGACCTACTTGTAATTCAAGAGTGTATTGATCAATCTCCATTTTTTTCTAGTATTATTTTACGTTTTTCTCTTGTTATCAAATTTTTATTGTTTTATTCTGTGATGATCTGGTGAAATACAGTAAACTGTTTTAATTCTTTGTTTGTTAAGTGTTTCTTGGTAGCCTAACATGTGATTTATTTTAGAAGGGAGGGTTCCATGGGTTCCTGAACAGAATATGTATTCTGCAGCTGTTAGCTGAAATATCCTGTAAATGTCTGTTCAGTCCATTTGGTCTACAGTGCGGATTAACTTCAGAGTTTCTCTGTTGATTTGTAAGTCTGGATAATCCATTGGTTGCTGGAAGCAAAGGGTTGGAGGAACACACTATTATAATATTAGGGCATATCTGTCCTTTTATGCTCGTTGGTGTTTATTAAATTGAGGACCACAAACTTTGGTGGAAGTTTTTTTTTTTTAATATTTGGAAAATATATATTTTCTTGATAGGTTTAACACTGACTTTCTCTCCTCAAAATATCTTTCTGTTCGTGTCTGCTTCATCAGTTATCAGAATCGCCACGGCAGCTCACATGTTTGGCTTCTATTTACTTGGTAAATTGACTTCTTTTTTCTCTCTTTTAATTTATACTATATATCTAAGGCATCTCTGGTGTCTCAGTTAGGGTTTCTATTGCTGCAATAAAACACCATGACCAAAAAGGAAGTTGGAGAGGAAATGGTTTATTTGGCTTACACTTCAGCATTGCTGTTCATCACTGAAGGAGGTCAGGACAGGAACTCAAACGGGGCAGGATCCTGGAGGCAGGAGCTGATGCAGAGGCCATGGAGGGGAGCTGCTTACTGGCTTGCTCACCATAGCTTGCTCAGTCTGCTTTATAGAACCCAGGATCACCAGCCCAGGGGTAGCATCACCCACAATGGGCTGGGCCCTTCCTCATCAATCACTAATTAAGAAAATGCCCTACAGCCAGATATTACGGAGGCATTTTCTCAATTGAGGTTCCCTCCTCTCGGATGAATATAGTTTGTGTCAAATTGACATAAATCTAGCCAGCACAACTGACCCCTTGTCAACTATCAAGTTCGGCTGCCAGCACAAGGTACAGCCTCAGCCACTTCTGGAACTCTGAGGAAACACTTCCCAGAAGATTTCACCTTGGTGATGCAGGTCTCTTCTTAACCATTACTGATTTCTTAGCTCCAGTTATCCAGCATCAATTGTACCAGTAACGTGAAGGTTTCACCTCAGCCAGTCTCTTGTTGGTCATGGCTGACTCTTCAGTCCCAGCTGACCAGAATGGCAGAACCTTAATTCAAAATAGCAAACAGTCCTGATAGAATCATTGAACTTTCTTCTGATACTTCAGAAGTCAGGCCTCCTTCTTCTGCTCTACTCTCAACATTCTGTCTCCCAAGCTCCACTTAGCTCTCAAGACTCAAAGGCTTTCTAGCCCAAAGTTCCAAAGTCCTTTCACTTTTTTATGAATCTGAGGACCGAACCCAGGGCCTTGCGCTTGCTAGGCAAGCGCTCTACCACTGAGCTAAATCCCCAGTCACCAAAGTCCTTTCGCAATCCTCCCAAAAACATGGTCAGATCTATCACAGCAATACTCCACAATGCCGTTACCAACTTCTGGGTTACTTAAAAGCCCTAATGCAAAGTAAATAATTACTATACTAAATTTAGGGACTAATAGCAAGATGTTTATATTGTTTAGTACCAGCTCAATCCACTTTTGAATATTTGCAGTTCATGGTTGGTTGACAAAGAACCTACGGTACCTAATTGTGCCTAACTTTTTTTTTCCTGTTTGACATTTATAGAATGGTACAAAAGTTCTTACGATGGTTTTTTATTTTCTTTCCATTTAAACAAAGTGGTGCCCAAAGGCCACCAATATCATAATTGACTGACGTAGTTATCCAAAGAGCATATTGCTGAGCTTTATTCATACCTGTAGCACCAGATGTCCCAGAACTAGCAATTTTGCCATATAAAACAAAGCTGTGAATCACTCCTTATGAAACTGCAAAAGCTATTCTTAAAATCAAAAGCTGTATGAGCTTTTCATTTTGTTCCTTACCCTGGGAAATTATTGCTGAATTCTAACAGTCAGTCATCCTTCTGGGCAAATAGCTCTTTCCATGGTCATGGGCTGCTGGAACTTTCTCCTGGATATTTCTTTTCAGCATTTGCCTTTTTGTATTCAGTCGTCTCCAAGGCTCCTAAACTCTCAAACATTTTCACTGCAGACATCCTCTTAGCAACTAGTCATCACCCACTGCTACCATTAAGGATTTTGAACTCCTCTAGACTTCAAATGGATAGAGGCAGGCAGTGGGCAACCATCTATAGCAACACAGCACAGGTTCCCCCCCTCCCCCCCACATTGCTCTTTAAAGACAAATAATCAGGGATGAGAGACAAGGAGAAGAGGGGAAAGGAGTATGGTTTTTCATCAACTGGGAAACCATACACAAAGGAGTCTTGAGACGATGGTTGCCTAACTAGCGAATACAAACCATGTTTGACCATGGAGTTCCAGGTTATTTGACAGTAGCCATAGAATCCCACCTTTCATGATAGTTCAAGAGCCTGCATTTTAATTGCGCTTGTCACCACTGACACTCAGGTGGATCTTTACATACAGATCCACCTTATGTCAGTCTTAGATCGGACTGACATTTTGAGTTCAGCATGCTGTGTGAATCAACTCATCTGCTTTCCCTTGAAGGAGAAGAAGCAATGGGTGAGCAGAATCATTTCTATACTTGGACTCCTGAAAGCTAAAGACTTGCAGTCACTTTACCCCAGTGCCAGCTGCAGCAGCTTTTCAAGCAGGTTTTGGAAGGGGCATAATTCAGGTATTTCATGCAGATAATTGCTATTGTAAACTAAAGATAATACCCTATGTAATCATGAATCATAGGGAAGTCCTTGTGAGATAACTGAGTTCCATTCCTATGGGTGCCTAAGCTGGATAGAGAAATTTCCCTGTTAACAAGTCAATATACTACGTATCACTACAGAATTTCTCTCTGTCTCTGTCTGTCTGTCTGTCTGTCTCTCTCTCTCTCTCTCTTATAAGACCCATTTATTATTTATAAGGACTTATAAATAGCCACCCCAGAAATAAGGGGAATAGCTGGGCACTACTTGGAAGGGCAGGTAGGCCAACCTCAAGTCTTCCACGTCTACCAGGAGAATATGTGTGTAAAACATCAAGAAAGAGCTGGGAGACGGCTCAGTAGATAAGTCACTTGCTATGCAAGCATGCGCAGCACAGTCTGGATCCCCAGAACCCACATAAGAGCAACACAGGCATGACAGCCCATGCATCCTAGCAGGGAAGCAGAGACATAGGATTTCCAGGGCTAGCCAGTACTGGCGAGCTCTGGGTTTAGTGAAAGACCTTCTCTAAATTAATATAGTGGAAAGCTATCAAGAAAAACACCCAAGATGAACTTCAGGCCTCTGCACACTTGTACACACACATTCACATATGTGAATATACATATATACACATACATACCACACATACACACATCAAAATATTTTTATGAGAACTTGGCCTTATTATACACACGTGCAGAACTAAGGAGAGTGAGGGGAAAGCTGGTGAAAGTCGTTCCAAAGCTTTCCTCAAAAGGAAGAAAAATGTAAATACATTATGAATGATTAATCAGTTTGTCTCTGGTGGGGGGGGTGCTAAGGGAAAGATGAACTGGGGGTATCGTTGCTATTGGAGATATGTGTGGTTCTCTGCTGTTTTGTGTGTCTTAGTTGGGGTTTCTGTTGCTGTGATAAAACACTGTGACCTAAAGCAGACTATACAGGATGTATAGGATGGAGAGAAGCATAAGATCAAATTCACCCCTAGGCTAAACCATCCCAAACTGATTTTGGAAGCAACAGCAAGGAGCTCAATCTCTAGCCCTGGCTGGCCTCGAATTCAGTGATCCTCTTGCCTCAAGTCTCCTGATCATTGGGATTATAGATGTGAGCTGCAGTTTTGAAGGCTCTTGAGTAATTACAAAGCATAGCTCTAAAATAGGGAGCCCCGCGGTGTGCTTAGGGTCTTCTTGAAGCAGGAGGCAATCAGTCAGTCCAGATGTGTAGGACGCATCTTTTAACACCAGGGAAGACTAGTGCTTGCAACTCCAGTTTGGAATGATATGGACAGGCCCTGGAGCCTACCGCCTGTGTTTCTGTTCATTGACATACAGCTCTGGCGTTCAACCAAATAAAATCACCGCTGTCTTTTCTTTTTGTGAGGAGTGAAAGGGGCATGGAACCCATAGATTACTGCTGTATCCGCAGATATAGGCTAGAATATGCTCTCAGTAAACAACCTTAGGAGCAACTAAAACCTCATCCATCACAGTAGAGGCAGTGGGTGACTTCCAGGTGACCCAGTGTTATTTTTAATTCTAGCATCGGATCACTGATAGGCAATTCTGTTTCTGACCAGTCGGTAGCGAAGAGGGGTCTGGACAGGATCGGGTTGGCTGCCGGGAAGTCGCAGGACCTACGGGTACCTCCTCACGCCAGCCCCCATTCACCAGACACTTTCCCTAACTAGGTAGCGCTTGGGATCAGCCCTGGGTGACGTCAACCCCGTCGTCCCACCCACCGGAGGCGTGTCCTGTCATTCACCGGCGCACACTAGTCGCACCAGTTTCCCGAAGACCTAGCGCAGACTCCAAGCCCTCACTTCCTCCTTGGCTTCACCCAGCTCGCTCCTGGGGGCGGGGCGAAGGACGGAGGGGAGGCGGTGCTGCGCCTGCGCGGAGAGGCTTCCAGGGTCTGGGACGCGGCCGCACTGATCTAAGTGACTGGAGGCAAGATGCAGGTGAGCGTGTCGTGGTCGGGACCCCAAGGCTAGGGTCGTTCGGTTTGGTGGGCTCGCGCCAGACCTGGAACCAGGTCTACACGAATTACCCCCGTTCGGCAGACTGCGGTGAGGCCGCGCAAAAAGGGCCTGCGCAGGCGCACTGCGAGAGGGCGGGTGTAGTCTCGCCAGACTTGGGCTGGGTGCTCCTGCTCGGGTGTGTCCTGCCCAGCAAATCTCTGTCGTTTGGGGGCCCCTGACCCTGGGGTCGTCCTCTTCCAGGTCTGATGAAGGCCTCGACTCTTCTGCCATCTAGAGTTGACTCTACCCAACGCTGGTGTTTCTGGGGGCGCTTTCTGGTTTCCAGAGCTGAGCCTAGGGCCAACTACAAGAGTTAATTTCCAAAATGAAGAAAATCAGAACCTTTAAGTTATTGTTTTTTGGTTGTTTTTTTTTTTTTTTCTGAGCCGGAATTTGCTAATAGTATTTGACAAAAGTTCAAAGAAAGTGCTAGAAAACGCCATAGAAATAAGATTCTTTTAAGAGCAAAAATCTGTGACGGCCGGATTTGTCACTGTCCAAGGAAGGACTTAGCCCTTCTATGTCGCTGTGTTTAAGAATTCTGAAGAGTCTGGATGGAGGGTAGATGGGGCGTACCGTTGTGGGCTCCGGCATTGGGGACTGGAGGGGTTTGCCGTCTGTTCATCCAGCAAGCCCACCACAAGCCAGGTACCCCTGGAAGGTAAAGAGAAAGTTGAGGAACTTCTCTGGACTCCTCTGCATTGTTGATTCTTCAGGTCCCTACTTAAAAACGTCACTCTTCACTTTCCCTGACCACCTTGCTAAAGGGAAACTTCACCTTTCTTGTGCTCTTGTCTCAGCCAGATTGTGACACAGAAGTGAGGTTGGAGCCTGGTTGGCCCACGGTCCTTCCCATGAGTTCATAAAATGAACCAAGTTCTGAGCCCTGTTATCAGTGTTCTGCTAAACCGTACCAACCCAAAATAATGGGGCCTCTGAGTTCCAGGTCTGGGACCACTTTGATCCTAGTCACTTTGGCTAACTGTTCCTTGTAGCAGTATCAGCTCCCATCCAAGTACCCTGCTTAGCTTCTGACCCAAGAAGATCGGGTAGGTTCAGGGTGGTATGGTTAGAGATGGCAGTGTCTTTCTGAGTGCCATACCTCACTGCACTTGGGAGGCAAGAGTTGGCTCAGCTGAAGGGAAGTGGCCTAGCATTTAGTGTTTAATAAACTTTAGCTGTCATGAGTGACTTGGGGGGTGGGGTCTGCTCTCCAGATTTATCCTTTAGACTTGATAAAGTTTAGAGAAATCTGTCAGCCTAGCCTCCTCCGCCCCAAGTCTACAGCAGCCTCTCAAGACTGAAGCTCAGAATGTCACAGTGTCTTCGCTTTGGGACCTTTACGTTTGTTGGTCCCTCTGCCTGAAATATTATTTTCTTTGTCTCCACTTTCCTCTTGTTGGGGGGAGGTGAGCCCGGCTTCCCTTAAAGAGACATTCTCAGCACTCCGAGATAAAGGTAAAACTTCTTTAATTAGTGTATAGCTGTATCCTGTTGCTCAGAGAGGCCCAGCTTCAAGCAGAAATCTTTCATGGTTTGTATAGGGTTAAGCATTGTCATAGTTTTGGGATCATCTCAGGGTGGTCTTTTTGCTGAAGCTGAAATTTGCAGGTTTCTGGTTAAGACAGAACTTGCTAAGTGGGTGTTGGTGGTGGTCACTTCTGAAGGAAGGAGAACAGATAGACGTAAACCCCCTTTACAAACAGCATAACCCAGTGTCTTAGTCAGGGTTACATATTGCTGTGATGACATCCCATTGACCAAAAGCAACTTGGGGAGGAAAGGGTTTATTTGGCTTACACTTCCATGTCATAATCCATCACTGAAGGAAATCATTGCAGAAATTCAGACAGGGTAGAATCCTGGAGGTAGGAGCTGATGCAGAGGCCATGGAGGAGTGCTGCTTACTGACTTGCTCCCCATGGCTTGCTCAGTCTTCTTTCTTATAGAACTCAGGACCAGCCCAGGGATGGCACCACCAACAATGGGCTGGGCCCTCCCCCATCAATCATTAATTAAGAAAATGCTTTACAGGCTTGTCTGCTTCCAGCCCAGTCTTCTGGAGGCGTCTTCTCAATTGAGGTTCCCTCCTCCCAGATGACTGTAGCTGGAGTCAAGTTGACATAAAACTAGCCAGCACAGTGAGCAGTTCAGTTTTAGCTCTGTCGTCTCAAGTCAGAGACAGTGTCGTACTTTGCTTCCTTATTCCTATGTAACCAAGTATTTCCTAAGTAAGCTTGTTAGTCACACTTAAGTCAAAGTTGCTATTTTCCTTTTCTCTTCCACTCTGGCTGACTCCTTTTCACCCGCATGTAATAATTAAATGTCCTCTCTGGAGAGCATCTCTGTCCGTTGTGTGAAATGTGGTCCCCTTTAACTCTAGACCAGTGGTTCTCAACCTTCCTAATGCTGCGGCCCTTTAATACGGTTCCTCATGTTGTGGTGACCCCCAACTATAAAATTATTTTGTTGCCATTGCATAACTGTAATTCTGCTACTGTTTCATTGAAATGTAAGTATCTGATATGCAAGATATCTGCATATGTGTCGCAACCTACAGGTTGAGAACTACTGTTCTAGACCAACAACCTGTTTGTCATCGTACTTGAAACAGCTTGTTTCCATATGTGCTTGTTTGCAGCCTACCTTTTCACCTTGGCTGTAGTGGCTCCTGTATCTATCATGCCCACTAGCACATCCTTCTTGGTTCCTGCCCAGTTCAGTAATTTGCCTGCTGTAGTGTCTTTGTTAGATTTCTATTGCTGTGGTAAAACACCATGACCAAAAGCAACTTAGGGAGAAAAGGGTTTTTTTTATCTTACAACTCTCAGGTCACAGTTCATCATTGAAAGACGTCACGACAGGAACCTTGAGGCAGGTTTGAGGAGCCAGGGACCTTTGGAGGAATGTTGCTTACTGGCTTGTTCCGCTTGGCTTGCTCAGTTTGCTTTCTCATGTATTTCAATACTGCCTTCTCTGGAGGTGGCACCGCCCACAGTGGACTGGGCCCTTCCACATCTGCCATCAATCAAGAACATTCCCCCACCAGGCTTGTCTACAGGCCAGGCTGATGTGACATTTGAGGTTCCCTCTTCTCACATGACTAGTTTGTGTCAAGTGGACAAAAACATCAACCAATCCACGTAGCCACTTAAAATCTGTTGCAGGAATCACGTCACTGTGAGATCTTAAAAGTCAGGGGCATCTCCAGTCATCACCTCCCTGGGCCTCAGAACTAGGAGACTTCAGAGGCACCCTGCAACCCCACTGTAGCTAGAGTTTTCCTGCCTGGCCCACAGTCAGGACAAATCTCTCTCACCTGCCAGTCCCACAGCCGCTCAGACCCGACCAAGTAAACACAGAGACTTATATTGGTTACAAACTGTATGGCCATGGCAGTCTTCTTGCTAACTGTTCTTACAGCTTAAATTAATCCATTTCTATAAATCTATACCTTGCCACGTGGCTTGTGGCTTACCGGCATCTTCACATGCTGCTTGTCATGGTGGCAGCTGGCAGTGTCTCTGCCTCAGCCTTCCACTTCCCAGAATTCTTCTCCTCCTTGTCCCGCCTATACTTCCTCCTGCCTGACTACTGGCCAATCAGTGTTTTATTTACTAACCAATCAGAGCAACACATTTGCCATACAGAACATCCCACAGCACCCCACAGTCCATATCTTTGTCAAATGATCAGATGGCTTCATGGTCAGATTCACTTTGGATAATGTCATAGGAATTCATTTTAGTTTTAAATAACATTTATTTAAATTATGAATGAACATACTAAACAGAAGGTAGATCAAAACCTTGGTTTCAGTATTGATGCCAATCAGTGCATCATTTCCTGAGTTTTACTCCAAAGCTGCCTCCTCAGAAAGACTACTGCAGGGGCGGTAGATCTTTCAATGCTCTCAGGAGTAGGCCACGGAGTAATTGAGCTTGAATTCCTCCTGTTCTCTACCTTTCCCGTTTCTCACATGGCCCCACGTTATGCCTTCTCTCCTGGACTCTGCCCTCACTGAGTCCTTGTCTTTGCTGTCCCAGGACCCCAATGCAGACACCGAGTGGAATGACATCTTACGCAAGAAGGGCATCCTGCCCCCGAAGGAGAGCCTGAAGGAACTGGAAAAGGAAGAAGCAGAAAAAGAGGAGCAGCAACTCCTTCAGCAGTCAGTGGGTGAGCTTGCTCATTTCTTCTATTGCTCTGTGGCTGGCTGGCTGTGGAAATGAGCCACTAACCGCTGTAGTAGAAGGACCTTCTGGGCAACAGCCAGGAGGCAGCGCTGGAGCCCTGGCATCAACCTTGTGAGTGATGGCTAGATAGGTAACCCCACAGAGGAGAGAGTGAGCCACCCTGGGGCCCATGGTCCTCGTCTCTCACAGGAGCACGTGGCTTTGGACAATGCCATCGAAATTTGTTCAACTTTTTAGTGTTTGTGTTCTTTTGAGGCTGTGTTTTATTAATCTTTGTGGCTTGGTTAAGAATATTGACATAGAATAGCTTACTTAATTTGAGGAAGCAGAAGATGTTTGAGATGATGCCTGGTGTCTGACAGAGGGGATTTCTCCAAGGGCTCCCCACCTGCATCAGCTTCCCCCAGCGTTGGTCCAAAGGTGTCTGATCCCTGCTGAATCAGAATGTGTGTGAGAGGCCAAGGCATCCGAATGGTAGACAGGTGCCTTCGGGGGTTTCGGATACTTCCCAGCTGAGAGATGTTGATCAACAGAGCTGGTACTTTTGCCCTGTTCATATGTGAAAAAAATTGTTTAGAGGAAGATGTCATAAGATGAATCTAGTTTATTGAATGATTTTTGTGTGTTGGGTGTTGTTCTGAGAAATGGAGATTTAGTGGAACACAGGCTGGACAAAAGTCATATGTCTTTATATTTCAGTAGCAACAGAAGTAAAAGGGATAAGGCTGGGGAGGGTTAGGAAGGTTGGACAGTGGGATAGATAGTGTTTTCAGTTGGGCAGAGGGGGCCTCACTGAGATGACATTTGAGTAGACCTGAAGGAGGCGAGGTGAGGTTAAGTAAGCTACTTTAGCAAGTAGAAAGCTGGCTTGGGATCCTAGAGAATCCATGAGGAGGTCTTCATGACAGGGAAAGCAGTAGAAAGTTTACAAGAGCCTGCCCACTTGGACCCTGAATCGCCTAGTAAAGAGCCCAGCTTTTTTTTTTTTTTTTGCCAAGATGGGAAGTTACTGGAGGTTGAAACAGAATGGCATGCCCTGTATTTTAACAGCACCATCTTACTGAGCACAGACAGTACCTGGATGTCCAAAGTCAGGGAACAGGGAGAGCAGTCTAATGCAGTTATTCAGGCAAGAGACACCATTGACTTGGACCCGTGTGGCAGTGGAGGAGAGGACCAGTGGTCAGAGCTGGGCATAGGGTGAAGGAGGGCCGGCAGAATTTGCCGATGGCTCCCAGTGTTGTGTGAGAGAGAAAAGACAAGGAAGCCTGCCAGGCTTGCATAGTCTGAGGGGTAGAGGTCTGCTCCTGGCATGAGTGAAGAAGGCTGAAAGAGCCAGGCCGTGGTGCTTGGGTCTGAGATAAGCTGGGAGACAACCCCACTTCTAGAGCCAGCCTCTGAGCGAGCTCACATAGCACAGGACAGTTTGCCAATGTCATGTACAGTGTAGGTGACATGAGAAGTGTTAGGACATCCGGTCCATGAGCGTGTCCCTGGAGACGAGAGCCGGCAGCGTCAGGCAAAGGTGACTCCTGTTTCATGAATCTGGGAAACTTGTCATTTGTATTCACACAGAGTAATGCGACAGTAAGAAGGGTGGTGGTGGGACCGTCTTTTTTATTTATTTATTTATTTTTAGTTTTAGTTTTTAAAGGTTTATTTGTTTTATGTATATGAGTACACCTTTATTTCAGAAGAGGGCATCAGATCCCACTATAGATGGTTGCGAGCCTCCATGTGGTTGCTGGGAGTTGAACTCAGGACCTCTGGAAGAGCAGCCAATGCTCTCAACCACTGAGCCATCTCTCCAGCCCGGGACCGTCTTTTTAAACAGTACCTTAGTTTTTGTCTCCGTGGGCTGGGCCTTCAGGAGTGGTGTGCACATACGTAGGAGAACAGCGAAAACATGAAGATGTGTGTGTGTGTTCATCTTTTCATTTTTATGCTCCTGTCAATGAAACGAAATTCAGTGAAAACATACGAAGACATGACTTTGGAAGAGCTGGAGGAGAATGAGGATGAGTTCAACGAGGAGGATGAACGTGCCATCGAGATATACCGGTCAGTGCCATCTTCAGGGACGGCGTGGGGTTTGGGGGCTGCTGAGATGTGTGTTCTTTGAACATCGGGAATGAACATGCCATCGAGATGTACCGGTTAGTGCCATCCATAGGGATGGCGTGGGGTTTGGGGGGCACTGAGATGTGTGTTCTTTGAACATTGGGAACAAATGTGCCATCGAGATGTACCGGTTAGTGCCATCTGCAGGGATGGCGCGGGGTTTGGCGGGTGCTGAGATGTGTGTTCTTTATCATGAGGCCGATCACTCAGCCCGATCACAGGGATTGTCTTCTGAAAGTTGCGCGTGCGTGCTTGTGTGCAAGTGTCCATCTGTGTACTTACGTGCGGTCTCCCTGTTGTGCAGGCAGCAAAGGCTGGCTGAGTGGAAGGCGACTCAGCTGAAGAACAAATTTGGAGAAGTTTTAGAGATCTCAGGAAAGGATTATGTTCAGGAAGTCACCAGAGCTGGCGAGGGCTTGTGGGTGATCTTACACCTGTACAAGCAAGGGTGAGCTGATCTCCGCACGGTCTGTAAAGCGTTGGGTTGAATTTCTGTTCAGTCCGTATGGGGCTTAACCTATAGAGGAGGTTTGGTTTTTATGTTTTGTTTGTGTGTTTTACCTGCACTTGGGGTCTTTGTTTTTGTGGCTGATTGGCCCAAGCCTTAGTGCTCAGTTTTTAATCTCAAGACTTTTAAATTAAATTTGTGAGTAATGTGTGTCTATTAAAAGCGTAGAGCAAGGACTTAAATTTCTTTTATTAAAAAAAAAAAAGAATTCTGCCAAGTACGGTAGTACATACTAGCACTCCCAGCATGAGAGGCTGAGGCCAGAGGACTGTGACAAGAGTTCAAGTCTAGCCTGGGCTACATAGCAGAATCGAGGACAGCGTGGGTTACATGGCAAGACCCAAATCTTAAAAAACAAAACCCACAAAAGCTCAGATCAGGTTACCCTTCCCTGGAGAGGAACTGGCATTTGAGAATTCTGTGAAACCGCCGACTTAGAGATGGCCAGGGTGACCTTGAGATGGTAACTGCCGAGAGATGCTGTGGCCGCCTGTGTTTCCTTGTCCTTCACCTGGGGGCGGGGGGGGGGGGGGGGGGGGGGGGGGGGGGGGGGGGGGGGGGGGGGGGGGGGGGGGGGGGGGGGGGGGGGGGGGGGGGGGGGGGGGGGGGCAAGCTCGGTTGGAAATCACTTCAAGGCAGGAAGTGCTTTCTGGTCTGTTTCCTAAATGACCCTCACAGAAAGACATAACAGTTTTCAAAACTATCAAAGCTGCGTTCCCAGACTTACTGTTAAATTAAATTTGGATTTGGATGTAGAATTACTCACTTTCCCTGAACACACTACAATGGATATTATTTTTTTTTTTTTAGAAATGTGAGTCCATCCTGCTGTCACAAACACCCTGTGAAGCCCTTCTGGGGTTTCTGTGTTGGCTCTGCCCTGTCTGCTCGTAGATCACAGCCGCTCTGTTTTCTCTTCTCGCGCTCCAGGATTCCCCTCTGTTCCTTGATAAACCAGCACTTGAGCGGACTGGCCAGGAAGTTTCCCGACGTGAAGTTTATCAAAGCCATTTCAACGACCTGCATCCCCAATTACCCCGATAGGAATCTGCCCACGGTGTTCGTCTACCTGGAAGGTGACATCAAGGCCCAGTTCATTGGCCCTCTGGTGTTCGGCGGCATGAACCTGACGAGAGATGGTGAGGGGCTCTTGACGGCTTGAGGGTCTTGTGAGAGGTGGGCAGGGACACCCCCCGACAGGGAGTGCCAGCTTCCTAGAGAGGTGTCATGGCTTATCCAGTTTACCTCTGCTGAGCGCATGGAATTTCTTACTCCTGCAGCGTCAGCAGGAGCAGTGAGCTGGGCTCTCTTGTTCTCGGTGAGAGGAGACACCCTGGACTCACCTTTACCTCAGATTAACATCAAGTATATTTCCCTTATCTGGTTGAATGTTACGTTTTCAGGTGGAGCTTAAGATCACAGTTTTTGTTTTTAGTTTAGCTTACGTGATAATGACACTTGCTTATATGTGTGTTTGTGTTTTCCTTTTGTCTTAGTTGACTCCCAGTAGTTTTTTAATTTTAAATTTCATTTAATTCTTGTCTCTTAACATATTCCTTTATACCTGCTACCCATAGGGGTGTTAAAATATATATGACACATGACTCAGAATCTGAGGCTAGAGGCATCTCTGTCAAGTGAAATTCTTTATCTCTTCGGTGAAATATAATCCCTCCAACTGCTTTACTTCTCTTCAAAAATATACTTTTTAAACATGGTTTTATGTACTTTCACACTCATTTATTCAGCCTAGAAAGTACAGACATGGCCACATACATGAGACATGTCAGTTATATTCCAGTGTTCAGACGCATACGGTGTTACAAATTAATACATACCTGATTTTGTTCTTGTGGTTCTTATACTGTGAGATGAGGTTATGGCTTAGTCCATTTTCTCTTCTGAAAGCAAAAACATCTGAAGGAGGTTTACTTTGGCTTCTGCTTCTGAAGGCTGAGACGTCAGAGGCGCAGCGCAGACTTCTGTTGGCTTCTGGAGAAGTGTGTCCTGGTGGAGAAGGGGGAGGCAATGCGGAAGGAGGATGTGTGGGAGCGACTGAGAGGGCGTGGCAAGCTTGCTGTGTAGTCACATCCTGTTTCTTTGCCTTTTTGTTTTTTGTTTGTTTGTTTGTTTTGTTTTTTTTTGAGACTGGGTTTCTCTGTAGCCCTGGCTGCCTGGCTATACTGGAACTCTCTGTAGACCAGGCTGACCTTGAACTCACAGAGATCCGCCAGCCTCTGCCTCCCGACTTCTGGGCTTAACGGCCACCTGCAACCCACTTTCTGGAGAATCAGTGTAGTCTTGTGACATTAGTCCCTCTTAAATGCCCCAGCGCCAGACTACTGTAGGGACAACTGAAGTCACCATCAGTTCTGGTGACTCAAGGCACACCTTGTGTAACTAGCAGTTCTGGTGAGGTACACCATGTCTAACTTGTAGTTCCAGTGAGGCATGCCATGTCTAACTAGCAGCTCTAGTGAGGCACGCCAGGTCTAACTACCAGTGTACAGCTGGTGCTACTGCCTTTATTTCCAGAAAAGTTCTTACTTGAGGGTTAGTACATCTGTATATATAATGACTGTAAGTGAATAGTAATGTTGAATGCGTGTGTGTGTGTGTGTGTGTGTGTGTGTGTGTGTGTATACATATAAATAAATACAGTCTTGAGTCAAGAATCAGAAACCTTATTTTTTTTCCTGTAAAGAGCCTGTTTTCACAGCATTCAACCATAATACCTGGAGCTAAAAATACTCAAGGCTTATTATCATCTTGGTGGTGCACACTGCCTCTGGCATTACTGAGGTGTGGCTCATTAAAAAAAAAAGCTTAAGGTTATTAAGGGGTACCACGCGTTCACCGCAAGATCGCAGTCAGTTGAGCTCAGTTGTCACCTCGCTCCCTTACCCCCTCTCATTGGTGACAGCATTACGTCTACTTTCTAAGCATGTTTGAGGTATGTAGTTCCTTATTAGCTGTGATCACCAGGCTGCCCCTTAGGCCCTCAGAGCTTTTCATCTTACATTGGAAGGTTTTTTACCATTTGACTGTCTGGTTTTATCTCCCACTCCTGGCAACCACTCCTCAAGCCCTGTTTCATGAAGGACTTTAGATAATAAAGTTTGATAAACTAGAGCTGGCTGTCAATTGTGGGACTGTCCAGTTAAGAAAGCCGAGCTACCTGGGGTCTTCGACGGCACCTGATTTTGCTCCCCAGGTCTCCCATGTGTGGCGTTTCACTGATGGTAAGAGTGGAGTTTAAAATACAGGAATGTGTTCTTGGGCATCTATTTTGATTTACATGAATGTTTTGAGTTGAGTGGATAGGATATCAGACCCCGTGAAGCTGGAAATTTTTCTTTTATTAATTAAAATGAGATTTTAATTACTGTTGGGTTCAGCCTTACTGTAGTGGTGGTTCCTCTGAATGCTCCATGAGGAAGCTGAGAAGGGGTAGCACTGGCCGACAGGCTGTTGTCATTTTCACGCAGGTTCCAGTTTATACAGTATGTCATTTGCTCATCACTTGAAAAGGCACTTCAAGTTTTCTTTCCTAAGAGTTTAAATTTTTTTCCCCTCCTATCTCTTTCAAACGGCACTAAAATGGTCATCAAATTTTGATGGTCTTTTTTTTTTTTTTTTTTTTAACCCTCTCAGGAAAAATTTAAATTGTCTTATGGGCTTTGGGTGGGGACCCCTTTGAGGGGACCTGGTGCCTTATGCTATTTGCTTTTTCTTTGTCTCGCAGAGTTGGAGTGGAAACTGTCGGAGTCAGGAGCAATCAAGACAGACCTGGAGGAGAACCCCAGGAAGCCGGTTGAAGATGTCTTGCTGTCCTCAGTGCGAGGCTCTGTCCCCATGAGAAGGGACAGCGATTCTGAGGGCGACTAAGAAAGCAGCCACTGTACCTTTTTGAACTTTCTTGATAGGACGTATTGTCTGGATTTTTAATAAGGAGGAAAAAGCAAAAATTTATCGTATTTTGGTTTTTAACCTTTTTATAATTATTTAAATTTTATACATTCAGAAATCATCGCTGGAAATTTTATTAAATTCCTTGGAACTCTTTTTAAATTAATAATGTTTCTTTAAGAAAAATTTAAACAAGCTTTATGCCAAATATCTGTTTTCCTACATGTATTTCAGCAAACCATGAAACTGTTTAGTATTTTTTGACATGCGACTGTGTAGAAAAGAATATGGAGTTGTTTTTTGTTTGTTAATAATGTGAATAAATTAACTGTTTAAAAAATAATTGCAAAAAATGAGAAGCTTTATAGCTAGACTGTTTTATTTTCATTTTATAAAGCTAGCAAAAGAACTATCAGCTAAAAATATATCAGCTAAAATATATATATATAGGAATAATCTCCAAGTGGGGGAAAAATCTTAATGTGTGTCCTGTTTGAAGAAATGGCTGAAAATATTTTTGAAACAAATACTGTTTTTATCAAATTAGCTGACAGATATCAACTTACTGCTGTGTTTGTTTTCAGTGAAGTCTTCTAATTAAGCTAATGTGTATCTCAGACTGTTAAGATGCCAGCTGTTGTTTGTGATGGTGGCGCACACCTTTAACCCCAGTACTGAGGGGCTGGGGCAGGCAGGTCTTGTTCAAGGCCAGGCTGCTTTACAAAGTTCCAAGCTAGCCAAGGCTACACCACCAAGACCCTGTCATAAAAGCAAAACCAAGATACCTGAAAAGATAGAAGCTTTATTTTGACTATCAGGTCCTGGTTAGATTTGCTTTCTGGAAATAAGGTTTACAATCTTAGAGATAAAGAGTCTAAGAACAGAGTTTGTTCAGATTATATTGTACATTTTATTTTTTGTGGGTAATTCAAAGACTGAGAGGGAGCAGGGACCCACTTTGTATGTGAGAATGTCTTGTTTTCTGTTATGTGAGAGCCCACGCTGCTGAATTAAAGCACACCTTTTGAGGTGTTTAGTGGCAGAGGTGCTCATGAAGTTTTTTTTTTTTTTTTTTTTTTTCGGTTTTTCAAGACAGGGTTTCTCTGTGTAGCTTTGCGCCTTTCCTGGGACTCACTTGGTAGCCCAGGCTGGCCTCGAACTCACAGAGATCCGCCTGGCTCTGCCTCCCGAGTGCTGGGATTAAAGGCGTGCACCACCACCGCCCGGCGCTCGTGAAGTTTTAATGGCAAGATTGGAGCAATCTCAGGAGTGTCTTTTCAGTTGTAAAGACCCATCATGGCTTATCTGAGTGCTGCTGCCTTAGAATCTCTATAGTGACTGAACACTAGAAAGTTAGGTGTTATGTTTGCCTTAAGGCAATGATTCTCAACCTGTGGGTCACGACTCCTTTGGGGGGGTCTCATATCAGATATCCTGCATATCAGATATTTACATTATGATTCATAACAGCAAAATTACAATTATGAAGTAGCAATGAAATAATTTTATGGTTGGGGTCTTCACAGCATGAGGAACTGTAATAAAGGGTGGCAGCATTAGGAAGGTTGAGAACCACTGCCTTAGAGACTGAATTTTTACACTAACGGAAAAGGGCTGTACCCAGACACAGGCAGTGTGCGCAGTGGTGGGGAGCTGCAGGCTTGGTGATTCTGAGGAGCCCAAGCAGGACCCAATGCTAACAGTCACTGTATCACTTTGATCTAAATGTGAACACTGCCTCCTCCATGCCAGATAACGACCTTGTTGACTGATGGATACAGTGATTGATGGCAAGGATTGGTACACAGCAACAGCTCTGGTGCCTGTGGCCTTGGCCAGTGAGCTCCGCCTACCAACACGGTGCTGGCACTCATGCAGCTGTTCAGCATCTGTCTGCACTTGCTGCAGACACCGGCATCATCATCATCATCATCATCATCATCATCATCATCATCCAAAACTGGGATTGTGATTGCAGCCTGAGCTCCCAGTGTCTGTCGTTGAGCTAATTCCGGGGGATGTGCCCACGGCATTTGCCACGCCCCTCTGCTGCCTTTCTTACGTTTAGATGTGACAGAGGTGACAAGACTTGGTTCATTTTCATTTTTAAAAAAATTTTAACTTACCCTTTCTTCTTAAGGGTATGTGTGCCTGCCTGCGTGAGTTTATGTGCATCACAGGGGTGCAGGAGCAAGCCCACAGAGGTCATTGGATCCTCTGGAACTGGAGTTACAGGCAGTTATGAGCTGCCATGTGGGTGCTGAGGACCAAACCCATGTCCTCTGCAAGAGCTGAAAGCCCTGTTGACCACTGAGCCATCTCCTTAGCCCAGAAACTTGCTTCTTAAACACAGGGTTCATCTAATTGCATAGCAAGAGATGCAGATGAGTCTGGAAGGTCTTGTCATTATACTAGACAACAGAGAAAATACCCAGACTACAGTGGTGGGCATATGTTGCTGGACAGTCTCTGGAGCAACGCAGTAAAGCTGACATCATAGCTGTGAACCATGCTGATAAATGACTGAGTACAGAGGGGAAGAAGGGAGCGAGCCCCACGAAGAATCCCCAAGTAGCTTAACGTAGTTTCTTAACCCCTAAGGCACTCTTAATGGGTGGTTTCCAAAGTGCAGTGGAGGTGGGAGATTGCAGCGGCAAAGGTCAAAACCCATGCCAAACCAGGGTGACAATGGGGCGTGCTTCATGATGTGATGAAAAGGGCATCTGACCTCCGTGGTCCTTCCGAAAATCCATAACTGCCAATATTGAGAAATTATATCAGTTAAGAAACTGGATATGAGATGTAGGGCTCTCTGTTAGCTTCCTAGTTAAGGAAAAAACTATACTAGAAGTTTATTTTTTAAAGATGGTGGCTCATGAATCATCACAAATGGAAACTCAGATGGGAAAGCTTGACTGTCCTGTGTCTGTAAGAATATGTTGTAGCTGGAGGCCTACCCAAGTCTTAGTTTTGATCTGCTCAAAGGTAGGGCCTGAGCCAGCACGTGGGTGCTGTGATTGGGAGGAATCCCCAGGCTGTAGAAGAGAAGGCTGAGAGAGGAAGTCAGGGTGGGGGTGGGGAAGATTGAGGACCAGGCTGGAGGGTAAGAAAGACAATCACTAGATAGTGCAGACACCCTCCAGTGTTGCCCACCCACAGATGGGAGCCTGGGTTTGGGGTTCCCCATTCCTGGCTCCCATGGGTGAGGGCTGCTCTCTGGGGATGTTAACTGCGTTTCTTTCTGGAGCTGTGCTTGCTCCAGAGCAGAGCAAGTGTCCGTGCCTTGGGAGAAGACAACAGATGCTGCAGGTCAACATGTTCTGAGCTTGCGTGCTCCTGGTTCTGCTTTACTCATTTAGAAGAGATTGCTTGGCTAGCCAGGCATGGATTTTTGTTGTTTATCCTTCTCGTGCATACATTTGAAGGAAAGCAAGTGAAAGGAATTGGGTACTTAAAGTATTTAAGAATATTAAAAGTATTCTTAAAGTGTCCTTTGATTGAGTAGCTCTGTCTTAGGGTTTTTATTGCTGTGAAGAGACACCATGACCGCAGCAGCTCTTAAAAAAGAAAACTTTTTTTTTTTTTTTTTTTTTTTGATTTTTCGAGACAGGGTTTCTCTGTGTAGCTTTGCGCCTTTTCCTGGAACTCACTTGGTAGCCCAGGCTGGCCTCGAACTCACAGAGATCCACCTGGCTCTGCCTCCCGAGTGCTGGGATTAAAGGCGTGCGCCACCACCGCCCGGCCAAAGAAAACTTTTAATTGGGGTGGCTTGCTTACAGTTTCAGAGGTTCAGTCTATTATCATCATGGTGGGGAGCATGGTGGCATGCAGGTAGACATGATACTGAAGAGGTAGCTGAGAGTCCTTCATCTTTCAGGCAAGAGGAAGTCAACTGAGACACTGGGCAGTATCCTGAGCATAGGAAACCTTAAAGCCCTCCCCTACAGTGACACACTTCCTCCAGCAAGGCCACACCCACTCCAACAAAGCCACACCTCCTAATAGTGCTACTACCTATGAGATTATGGGCGCCAATTACATTCAAACCACCACATTTCACTCCCGGGCCCCCATAAGCTTGTAACACTATCATAATGCAAAATTCATTTAGTCCAACTTCACATGTTCTCCTAGTCTATCACAGTCTCAACAATGTTTAAAAGTTTAAAGTTCAAAGTCTCTTCTGAGATTCATGCAATCTCTTAACTGTAATTACCTGTAAAAATCAAAATAAAAAGGCAGATCACATACTTCCAACATATAATGGCCCAGGATATACTTTACCATTCCAAAATGCAGGGAAGGGAGCATAGTGAGGAAATACTGGACCAAACCAAGACTGAAAAACAGCTGGGCAAACTCCAAACTCTGCATCTCCATGTCTGATGTCAAAATGCTCTTCAGATCTCCATCTCATTCAGCTTGGTTGACTGCAACACACTTGTTTCTCATGGGCTGTTTCCACTCTCTGTTAGCAGCACTCCTTGGCAGATATTCCACAGCTCTGGCATCTCTAACATCTTGGGTTCTCCAAGGCAATCCAGGCTTCAACTTCACAGCTTCATGCAACGGCCTCTATCAGGCTAGGCGTGGAGGCAAATTCCATAACCCATTTCTTTTATCCTTAACTCTAAAGCCAGAACCATGTGGCTGAAGCTCCCAAGTTCTGCTTTCTGGGGCTGGAACACAGCCTGCTAGTTCAATTATATCTTCACCAGATTTCTGTTTTCCATGGTTTCCTTTACTGCCTAAGCTTGGCTGTCCTGAAACTGGATCTCTAGACCAGGTTGGCCTCAAACTCAGAGATCTGCCAGCCTTCCCAGTGCTGGTACTAAAGGTGTGCCCCCACCGCACCCCATAACCCCAATCTAAGTTTTTCTTTAGTTTCTTCCCACAAGTTGGAAACCTTGCTGGATGGGATCTCGCCCAGAGGTCACCGCTCCCTTTATTTCCATTTTTTAATTCATTTATCTCCTTGAACACAGGACTTAGCTCCATTCCACTTCCTGGTGCTCTTTTCCTCCTCAAAATTTACATTTTGTAACTTACCCTGCTCAGTGTGCTCTTTTTCATTATAAACCCTCATTAGAGTTACCACTGATAACTACACGACAGAGTCTATACTAGGCTGTTACGAGATTTCTTCTGCCAGTGGAATTAATATAAAACTCTTCACTTTAGCCTAAAGCAGACTCTTCAGGCAAGAGCAAAATCAGCCAGTTTCCTCACCAAAATATTACAAGACCAGCCTCTAGGCCACGTACTAACGTTTTCTCTGGAACTTCTTGAGTGAGCCCCCAACGGTTCAAATAACTCAGCACCGCTGTCTTCCATGCTCCCACTAGTAAGGCTCATTAAGCAGCAATTAAAACGTTCCACTGTTTTCATAACCCAAAGTACCAAAGTCAAAATTCCTCTAAACAAAAACACGGTCAGGCCTCTCACAGCCCCCAGTCCCTGACACCAACTTCCGAACCAATCCTATCAGTTAAGATGCTGGTGCTTTCCAGATCCCACCAGCAGGTGGCACACGCCGACAACTTAATCACAATGGCTACCGCCAAGGAAACCTTTTAGAGGTACCCTGACTTCACAGATGTTAAAAATGAGGAGCGAATGTGCTTTGAATGAGTGATGATGTAGACTGAGCCCGGAGTGGTAAAGATGTATCAGGTTATTTGAGTTTAACTTGACCACTCCAGCTTTTAAACTTCAACTCTCCATGTCTGTTTATTACGTTTCTTTATTAAACTTTAACATGCTGAGAATACCAGCTTCCTAATCAGAGTGATGCTGTTACAACCCCTTGAGTACTTGTTAAAGTGAGTGCAGTCTCCTAAAGAAAGAGTAACTAACTTTAGGTAAGTAACTTCCTGAGACGGCTTCTTGCAGTTATAAAGATCTATTGCAGTCACAACGGGGATGCATCAAAGAGAGGTAGAAGACAATGATCAGATCTCTTGATGGCTAAAGCTGAAATGATTTGAGCCACACAGCAGATATTTTATTATCACCTGAGGCATAGAGTAATTACACAGTATC